GATAATAGGATCGCTAGGTATGATTGCTGAAATCACACCAGTGCTGCAGTCGTTAGAGGTTGAGTTCAAAGCGTCTTGATACGGTTTCCTTCGCTCTGACATCGGCAGGAAAAAGCCCCGAGCTAAAGTAGTGTTCTGGTGCCACAAGGAGTTTTCTTTTAACTGATAAGTCAAATGGAGAACGGAGCTGAAAGATGCGGATGATCGCTGTGGTGTTTGTGCCACAGATTTCCAGTGTTGCACCGTGGTTGAGCGGCTAAGACCCGTTCATTTACAAGTAAGAGACCTTTAAGTCTCTTACCGTAGTGCATTTGTTTAACAAAATGCGAATAATATCTTCTTTGCCATTACAATAAAAGTCTGGGTAAAGCAAAAATAAATGTTTTTTGAGTTTGTGACACCACAGAAAAATGTGTTATTAACCACTCGGGTAAATCTGAATGATGGGAAAAAAGGGAATGGACCAGTGTTTAAGATTAGGTTTCAACAACGTGACAAAAGAAGCAGTGCTCTCGGCTCTGAAACGCTGGGGGGGGCGCACAAGATGAGCATCACACTGGTTCCCTCGACAAAAAAGCCAATGGGATTCTTCCATTGGATTTTGGATTATCACAGAAAATAAGCTTTGTAGCAAACGAACCTTTATGATGCTTACACGTTGTGTTCAGTGAGATAATCTTCACAAATGAATGCTGCATCTAACCAATAACGCATCTAAAAAAAAACAGTACTCTACACGACATGTTGGCCATCTCACTGCTGCGCGCTAACTTTGCACACCAGAGGCTGGCATGTGCACCACAGAGCCGGCTAACTTCCTGTTTAGCCCCATGCTAACTTGAATTAAATAAATACAGGTGCTGGTCATATAATTAGAATATCATCAAAAAGTTGATTTATTTCACTAATTCCATTCAAAAAGTGAAACTTGTCTATTATATTCATTCATTACACACAGACTGATATATTTCAAATGTTTATTTCTTTTAATTTTGATGATTATAACTGACAACTAAGGAAAATCCCAAATTCAGTATCTCAGAAAATTAGAATATTGTGAAAAGGTTCAATATTGAAGACACCTGGTGCCACACTCTAATCAGCTAATTAACTCAAAACACCTGCAAAGGCCTTTAAATGGTCTCTCAGTCTAGTTCTGTAGGCTACACAATCATGGGGAAGACTGCTGACTTGACAGTTGTCCAAAAGACGACCATTGACACCTTGCACAAGGAGGGCAAGACACAAAAGGTCATTGCAAAAGAGGCTGGCTGTTCACAGAGCTCTGTGTCCAAGCACATTAATAGAGAGGCGAAGGGAAGGAAAAGATGTGGTAGAAAAATGTGTACAAGCAATAGGGATAACCGCACCCTGGAGAGGATTGTGAAACAAAACCGATTCAAAAATGTGGGGGAGATTCAGAAAGAGTAGACTGCAGCTGGAGTCGGTGCTTCAAGAACCACTACGCACAGACGTATGCAAGACATGGGTTTCAGCTGTCGCATTCCTTGTGTCAAGCCACTCTTGAACAACAGACAGCGTCAGAAGCGTCTCGCCTGGGCTAAAGACAAAAAGGACTGGACTGCTGCTGAGTGGTCCAAAGTTATGTTCTCTGATGAAAGTAAATTTTGCATTTCCTTTGGAAATCAGGGTCCCAGAGTCTGGAGGAAGAGAGGAGAGACACACAATCCATGTTGCTTGAGGTCCAGTGTAAAGTTTCCACAGTCAGTGATGGTTTGGGGTGCCATGTCATCTGCTGGTGTTGGTCCACTGTGTTTTCTGAGGTCCAAGGTCAACGCAGCCGTATCCCAGGAAGTTTTAGAGCACTTCATGCTTCCTGCTGCTGACCAACTTTATGGAGATGCAGATTTCATTTTCCAACAGGACTTGGCACCTGCACACAGTGCCAAAGCAACCAGTACCTGGTTTAAGGACCATGGTATCCCTGTTCTTAATTGGCTAGCAAACTCGCCTGACCTTAACCCCATAGAAAATCTATGGGGTATTGTGAAGAGGATGATGCGAAATGCCAGACCCAACAATGCAGAAGAGCTGAAGGCCACTATCAGAGCAACCTGGGCTCTCATAACACCTGAGCAGTGCCACAGACTGATCGACTCCATGCCACGCCGCATTGCTGCAGTAATTCAGGCAAAAGGAGCCCCAACTAAGTATTGAGTGCTGTACATGCTCATACTTTTCATGTTCATACTTTTCAGTTGGCCAAGATTTCTAAAAATCCTTTCTTTGTATTGGTCTTAAGTAATATTCTAATTTTCTGAGATACTGAATTTGGGATTCTCCTTAGTTGTCAGTTATAATCATCAAAATTAAAAGAAATAAACATTTGAAATATATCAGACTGTGTGTAATGAATGAATATAATAGACAAGTTTCACTTTTTGAATGGAATTAGTGAAATAAATCAACTTTTTGATGATATTCTAATTATATGACCAGCACCTGTAAGTGCCGCTTTTGTAGGCTTTCCAATTGGTATCGGACTAAATTTATCAACTTCTTCACTTCACTTTATTTATAAAAGTAGTTCCTGTTTTCAAGTCAATTAGTAAATCATTATTTTTACCTGAAGACCAAGAGATTCAGGACAAATGCGTAGATGCGCATTTGCATCAAAGACATAATGAAGTTGATGTCTATCGCACATGTACTCGCCCCATATATGTTATATATATATATATATATGTTAAAATATGTCTGGCCTCTTTACCTGTAAAAAGTTTACTGCTGAAACGGTGACTTATTTAGAATCCAACTGAGGCGACTCTTCCCGCTCACTGCTGACTCGGTGCAGCTCTGTCTTCGCCGCTTTCATGTCACAATATCGATGTGATCCGTGTCGACCGCGTGCATCCCCTGGTTTGTCACTGAGGCGAGGGGCCGGCTACCATGTCACAGGTGTGACGCTGAGAAAGGTCAAAAGCTGGGAGACAGATGGCGCGCGCGCACACACACACACACACACACACACACACACACACACACACACACAC